CTGGGTCATATTCTCCACATTATCAACTTTAGGGATCAGAGTCAGCCATGTGTGATTAAAACTCTTAAGCATCTTACTTGTAGCAAAGAAAGAGCATACAGCCTCAGTCACAGAACAACCCACAATATCCCAAAAGGCTTTAAAGAATTTCCCAGTGAAGCCATCTGAACCCGGTGCCTGCTTAGACCCCATAGAGAAAACTGTTTTACGCACTTCCTCCGGAAGGACTTCTGCCGTGAGACAGGCATTCATCTCAGGCGTCACTTTCCGAGGAATATGCAGGCCATCCACTCGCTCTGCCATATTAGGCACCTGATTTTCTGAGGTAAATAGGTTCTGATAGAAAGTATCAGCAATCTCGGCCTTCCCTTTCTCCTCCGTAATCCAGTTACCCTCATCATTCCGCAATCCAACCACAAAGTTTCTTTTTCTGCGAGCCCTGGTAACAGTATGAAAGTAATCAGAATTCTGATCGCCCTTTTTCAACCACCGAACCCGCGATTTTTGCTGCCAATAGCTTTCCTCCGCCTCCCACTGCCTATTCAACTCAAATTCCAACCGACGACCTCGTCCCAGTCAATTGGATATTGAGCTTTGATCCGATCAATTTCAGCCTGGAGGGTCTTGATATTTCGTAACGAATTCGTGGTTCTTTCTCGACTCCAGTCATACAGCAAGTGCCTAAGTTTCTTAAGACGTTCCCAAAGTCTGAACATAGGGGTACCCTGAATTTCCTCTTTCAAAACATATTGCACCATGGCATTGACTTCTGGGTTATCTGCCCATCTGGCATCGAAACGGAAAAGGGGCCGACTATGGCGCGCGTAAGGCTTATCAGAGAGAAGCAGGGCACGATGATCCGACCCCTGATCCGTGAAATGTTTGACTAGGGTATCCGGAAAGAGGTCAATCCAAGATTAGGAAAAAGGGCTCTGTCTAATCTTTCCCGAACACAAGCTGCTCCCATACGTTTATTTGTCCAGGTAAACTGGTCACCCTGGTACCCAGGGTCATGGAGACCAAGATCCTGGACATAATCACGTAAGCTAAGAGACTGAGCTGCATTCCACCTAAGGCCCCCATCTTTCTCACTCTCATGGAGAGTAGCGTTAAAGTCCCCAATGACAACATAGGGAAGATGAAAAGCCTCACAAATAATTTGGAGTTGAGCCAATTGGGAAGCTCTAATAGTAACATTGCAACTAATATAAACAAAAACCACAATATAAGCAAACTCTACTTCATTAATTTGGGCACAAATACAGAAGTTGGAATGAAAGAACACCGAAGCATCAACCCCGGGGGACCAAGCAAAAACTAAACCACCAGATGCATCAATCGCATCAACAAAAAAACAATAAGAAGACTCAAAACCTAAGCCCCTCATACGACGGGCGACAACACGTCGGCTCGATCGAGTTCCAGAAAAAAACACGAGATCCGGTTTATTAGAATGAATTAAACCGACAGCAGTTTGGAATGTAAGGGATGGTCCAATTCCTCTCACATTCCAGGCAACAAGCCTCATTTATCCGATTGGGGCCATTCACGGCTGGCTTCCTCCACCGAATTCATATCAGCTTCATCTTCAATAAACTGCCTTTTGGGAGTAGGTGATTCCGCAATCTCCCCTTTCATCGCCTCAAACTGCCGTTTTCTAACCCCCACATTTGGTTCACTCAAGTTCGAGCCATACTCGTCAAAAATATTGGCTTCCTTACCAAGGTTATCCACCACCTGGCCCGTATTTCCCCCACTAGGTTTCGGCTTAGGTGTGGGCTCTAGGTCTGCCATGGCTAGTCCATTCTCAAAGGCCTGCACGACACGACTCACCCTGGTTGAGTGAGCCAAACGCTGCAACTCCTTGGTTTTGCTAGGTTGTCGACGGCGGAGCTCAAAAGGGTGGGCATCCTCATTAGAGTCCGGATCCACCAGCCCGATTATATCAGGGACTTTCTCCTCCGCAGGAGGAAACCTCAGAGATGACGCTAAGGTAGGAGCCTCATTCACTCCCCCATCTCCCTCGTTCCCCTCTACCACCGGAGCCAAAGATGCACCTCCCTTGCCCTTTTTTCTAGTTGCTCTACCCCGGCCTGCAGCAGGTTTGCTACCAATGCCCTTGGCCGCCAAGGTTCGGAGCTTCCGCTGGCTAGCAGCTCGTGCCGTCGGGCGCAAAATACCAGGGGAATGATCCTCTTTCATATCGCTTTCTTTGGGGCGAGTTGTTCGGCTACGCGAGGTTGACACAGCCATAGAAAGGCGACCCCGAGCCTTGATTTTTGCTGATGGGATTTCAACAACAGCTTGGCGCGGGGGTGAAGGCGAGGGAACCTTCTGCACAAAGAATTCGTCTTCGGATTCTTCCTCCAGTATAAGCCGACGACGACGAACCGGGTTGTACCCTTCTTCGGGATGCAGTTCGTTATAGCCAACAAAAACCTGTTCATGCTCAGCAACCACGTACACATTCTTCACAGGCCGCCGTCCTTGCGTCGCATGCATGGGCATGGGCTGCCGATCAACTTCCACGGAGCTCACATTGTCGCCCTTCTTGCTTCTTCCACGTCTGTTTTGTCTCCCAATAGCAAATTTAGGTGCTTTCCCTACCGGAAGCCGAAATGGGCTGTTCCCCAAGCGGTTTTTCGGTTCGGTCATCAGGAAGGGGTTATCCGAGGAGCCCATCCACAGCGGGCTATCTTCAACAGAGGGTTTTTTCTCCTCAGCGGGTTCTTGCCTGTTTAGAGCTCGTGCTGCCTGTTGAACCTTAGCATCCTCGCACTGGCCCAGATCACGAGTCCCATTTTGAGAAAAAGCCTGAGCACCCTTATTTCCGCGGATGTCTCTGTTGATCCAAACCGAATCTGGGTGCCCAGGATAGCGCAACTTCTCCTCCTCCTCGTCAAAATTTTTCCCTCCCATCTTCTTCATCGACATATGGGAGCCAAATCGTTCTTTCCGAACTGGCGGATCAAACGAGCAAGCCTGACGGGAGTGTCCGACTCGACCACAGTGAAAGCAGAAACCGAATCCAGAAATCACCGGTCTCATCATTGGAAGCCATAACCTGGGATCGCAGAGGCTTCGAGAAATCAATCAGCACTTTAACCTTCACAAAGTAGCGCCCCGAGTCCGAGCAAGAGAAAACTCCAGCTTCCAAGACACGGCCCAGAGTGGCATTCGCCACTTTCCTTCCAAAATGCTGGGTGCAACAATCCTCCGGCACATCCCACATTTGGACACGGAACGGAGCAACAGCAAGCTCATCAAAAGTCCGAGTTGTGATATTCGGAGTCCATGCCCGTAGGTGGAGGATTTTGTCAGAAATCACCCAAGGTGTGCGTTGTAGAAGCCAATTTTTTGCCGTGTCAGTTGGGAGAACGAACTCGTAAAGGCCATGCGCAACCACTCGAACTTGGATTCGACGCTGACCTTGCCACGGGTTATTAACCGACTCCCTAAGCTCTATAGGCAACATGCGGTTATCTGTGAATAGCCTGCCGATGAGAGTCCTGGACTTCCGAACCCTGTCGGATTGAACCTCCGCAAGGGACTGAAGGACACCACTTGATCACTAGCAACACGTGACATGGTTGTAAGCTGCAAAACAGATACCGGACCAGGGTCACTTAGTACCAAGTCAACGTAGGGGAGGTCAGGGATCGACCAAGGAAAGCAAGAGCTTGTCAATGGAAACAGAAATAGTAGCAGAGGTTCAATAAGGGAGAAAACCCACGTACCCGAGAGGAGCTAGCTGCTGGCGATTGCTAATTGCTTTGTTTTCTCCCACAAGAGATTCCTCACGAGGACCTGGGTGATGGGGGCAATATAAAGCAACAGCCAAGTCGAGACTAACCCTCCGCAACAGGTCTCCTACTTGGATTGGGTAGCGGGAATTTGAATTAAAACAATAATTTTTATTTGATTTATCCCTTATCTTGACGATCGATTTGACAGCGAGAGAAATCAGTCAGGGAAATCCCTTTGCTAATCCCCGTCCGAAGATCTAGGGATCGGTTATTCTCCCAACTATTCCGTTCGAGGGAGTTCACGTTCGCCGAAAAATTAACAACGGCCAACAATTTTTTGATTTGGCCGGTAGCCCCACATGATCAGTGGGTAAACTAGACGAGCTCGCCCCATTACGGGATCTAAACAAGGCCTCTACCACTTTCTCGGCAGTCTTATCCACAGGCTGAGGATCAGTGTCTCTCTGTGGGATTATCGCCTTCAAGAATAGATCACTTGACGAGGAGAGGCGAAACCGCCACGTCGACTTCTTGGAACGCCGCAAGCGTTTAACAGCTGGGCACTCATGATCGCTTACATCAAACGATACGCAATCAAATCGCCGTTTCCGGATCCCAGTACTTGGACCTGTTGGGATGAATAGCTTTGAAAAGCTATAAATGAAATTCCTAATTAATTATCCAGTATTTTCCCATAAATACATAAATAAGATGGATAATTAATAAAAGGAATATTATGGAGATAATTAGGAATATTCTTAATTATCTTAATAGATTATATTTTAATTATGGGAGTAATTATCTCCCTAATTAAAATATGACTTATTCCCAAAGAAAGAGGGAATATTCTGGGTTTTCTGCTCCTATAAATAGGAGACGCCCCAGACCCTCAAAACACACCTCAGAAGAGCAGAAAAACGAGTGAGAGTGAATTCATAGAGCTCCGGTTTTTCTCACAAAACCGATGAGCAATAAAATAAGAATGGCTGTTTTATCCTGGAGGCGACCGGCTGATAGTCTGTTGTGCGCATTACGAGGCAGTGCCGCGAACGTCTTAAAGAGAGCGACCTAGTCCGCGACTCAGCCAGCTTCGGTAACCCTAATTTATCTGTTCGATTTCTAACAATTTTAAGACGGTTCGGTGGCTGTCATAGTATCGAACAGGAACCGATTCTGGCTCGCCAGCCCTGACCCGAGACCAGTACGTCTACTTGGCGAAGCTCGCTGAGCAAGCCGAGTGCTACGAGGAGATGAATGGCTCTCCGTCGAGGAGCAGAAACTTCTCTCCGTCGCTTACAAGAACGTGATTGGCTCCCTCCGCGCCGCCTGGCGTATTGTGTCCTCGATCGAGCAGAAAGAGGAAGGCAAGAGGAACGACGAGCTCGTTGTGCTCGTTAAGGAGTACAGGTCCAAAATCGAGACCGAGCTTTCGGCCGTCTGCGCCGGGGTTCTGGCTATTCTCGACTTCAATTTGGTTCCCTCCGCCGCTAGCAGCGAGTCCAAGATCGCCAGATCGGAGCTCGATCGTAGCTCCCTGTCGGTTCGCTAGGACCTGCATCAGGACCATACATTGTCCGCCGCTCCGAATCGCGAGATCGATGAAGGTTACTTTCCTCGCCAAAGCTATGCTCTCGATCGCGGTCTGGATTCCAGCAAATTGAGCAACCTAAATGTAGGGGAGCTTCAAGGAGCAAGCGATCAAAGCGGGGTTGGCACAGGGCGACATCGTTTGGCTCGGATCCGATTGCCCCTGTTCTTCTTCCTTGGTGGCTCCGCTTTCGCTGTAGATTCTCTCCTGCAGGGATTCGGTGAAGAAGTAGACGAGTCGCTGGGCCGGAGAGCCGGACGGGGACGCTAGGAATCGGCACCAGCTGAGGAATTTGATGGATTGGTCGATTTTTTGGGAGGTGAATTTCTGGGCGGAGGCTAAGAGGAGGTGGACGAGCTCGATGTCTTTGATCTTGTCGCCGGAGAGGTTGAAGTGGGAGGCGTCCCTCTGATCGTCGTCTTCCCTTCTATTCCTGGGCCAAGTAAAGAATGCCCGTGGTCCAATTAAATCCCATGGGCCAAGTGCAGTGGGTTTCAATCCACCAGCTTCACCTATTCCTATTGCTGGATCCTTGCTGGTTTATGCGACAAAAAGATAAGTAGAATGGATTACTAATTTGTTGATGAATTCTGCTTTTGTGCCAATTATGGTGGATTTCTTATTTGAATGCACTACTTCTGAATTTAGGAATTGCTCTCAGCTTTTGTGTAAATATGGGGAGGCCTCATGCACGTATGCTTCTCGAAGCGGTAATGTTACACGAATCATGAGAATGAAGTTATTTGTGACAAATTCAGAAGAAAATGACTTCTTGAAAGGAGGTAAGAATTGAACCTTCCTTATGAGTCATTAATGAACGACAAATTTCATAGGGTTTTATGCATGTAATTGAATAAGGTTATGAATGCTAGAATGAAAGTTTGAATTGACGCATGATAAGTTGACATTGAGATATATAACGTACCTCGATGATTAAAGCATAAATTGAATACATGCTGTGAAAAGAATGTTTTTGTCTAGATGTGTGCATTGAAGAATATATGGGAAGAGAATGAGTTTATTGCCCATAATAACGATATTGTAAGAAGTACTATTATTAGTACTACACGAACCACTTAGGCTGCTCTGAAACGTTAAAGTTTCAAGAATGAGAGTAGCAAGCCGAACCAGATCAATACCAAATAGAATGGTACCCTTTGTGGTAACCATAAGATTGTCACCCAATCCTCTAAAAATGACGTTATGTTTCTCTGTGAGAAACTAGGTCATAAGACACGAAAGTGTAAGAACAAGTTTAACCTAGTGTTAACTTGACTAAAGAAGAGGATTTGGTAATAATATTCACTGAGGTGATGACAGAGGTTAGCCTTAATGGTAACTCTGAAGAATGGTTGTTAGATAGGACCGCTTCAAGATATGTGTGTGATAAACGAGCTAAGCTCAATCATCCATTGACGCGTATTGAAGGAGGAAGTGTTGTTGGGCAAGGCCCTCACCACTATTGTTGATGGTTCTGGAAAAGTGGAAGATAATCCTGCCTCAAGAAAGTCATTGACTATCCTAGATGTAAGGAATGGTTAAGTAGATAAGATAAATTCTTCCAAGTGTGTCTGTGTGAAGAATTAGAATATCTTATATCGCATTCCCATATTATTATTGGATGCTTGAGAAAAAATTTGAATTTTCTATATCCAAGCTAAATGACCCATAAATATGTGATTAGAGAATCAGAATAAATAGATCTGATTTATGTGGGTAAACTTGATGGAAAAGACAATAAACAAATTATTGCTCTTTAGAGTGCTCTGATTGTCTGACTAGTTATTTGAAATGGTTTGAAATTCCTAATTGCATTATGATTGCACTGATTATTCGATATGTGGCATGCATGTGGTAGCGTTAGAAAATCAGTGTAGCATGATAACTAGAAGAGCATATGAGTGTGTTTTATGTTGTTAACAATAAAAACACATAGTACCTATGAAACGAAATACTCATGTTGTTGTGAAATCCATTAATGCCAAGAAACTTCCATTTTAAATCAAGAAATAGTGGGGGTAGTGTCCTGCCTACTATTAGAAATAATGGATAACTAGTGTGGGTGATGAATCTGAGTATGAACTCAGAAGAGACAAATGAACCATAAATCACGAAAGGATTTTGGTTATGAATTTGTTATTTACACCCTAAGAAAGAAAGATCCTACAAGTCTGCTAGAAGTTCGAACTTCCATAAAGATGCAGGATTGTGGGAGAATCCATTATTAACGAAATGGAATTATTGGAGTCTAATAAGACTTAAAATCTTGTAGAGTTACCTCTTGGTTGAAAAGCCTTGGGTAATATACCGATAGAATCGAACAAGATTTGGCGTCTTTGAGAATTACCTCTTGGCAATGAAGTCATGGGTAATAAATGGATTCTTAAAAGAAAAGTGAAACATATTGGTTTAGTTTATGAGTATAAGGATCGCCTAATAGCTAAGGCTTTAAGCGAAAAGGAAAAATTGTAAATTTTCTTGTTATCTATTCACCATATGTAGAATAACATCCATGTATGTTCTGATTGCTAGTGTTGTGCGTCAGATGGATTGTTAAACAAGTTTCTGTGAATGGTGATTTAGATAGGAAAATCTACATGGGACAACCTATAGGGTTGTTATTCCTGAACATGCTTAGGGAGTCTATAGTTAGACAAATCATTGTAAGATTTGAAATAGACTCTAAAACGATGGCATGGATAAGCTGGTTCTCTCTCATGGTTTTAAAAGTGAAAGGCAAGTGCATTTAGTACAAATTTGAGAATGACACTTGCATTATGAATGACACTTCGATCTTTGGTACAAAGACTCGTGATGTCAATATTATGAAAAACCATGTTGTTTGAGAATTATGAAGGTAAAAAGATCTGGATGAAGCAAGTGTTATGCTCGAAGATCCAGATTACTAGGACAATGAAAGAGATTTCATCTAGATCAGTTTAACTACAAAGCAGATCTAGAGGAAATACGAGTTCTACACCTGCATAAATGTTTGATGGTGCTAGTATAATTTTTAAGAGCACCAAAGACGGTGTAAGAAAGTAAGAACATACTAGCATCGACAGTCTGCGTGAGGCAGCTGGTAAACATGAGACCCGACATAGTGGGGGTACTTGGCAGGCTTACTGATTGTCCTAGTATGAAGCATTGAAATGCTATTGAAAGGGGTCATGAGACACCTTAAAGGAACAGAAAAACCTTGGTATTTGTTATCAAAGGTTTTGCTGTATTGGTAGGGTATAGTGATGCGAATTAGAATACCCTATAGAGGACCCCAAGACAACAAGAGGATGTGTTTTAAACATCGATAGAGAAGCTATGTCTTGGAAGTCTAAAAAGTAAACGATCCTGGCTCAATCAACTAAGAAATCAGAAATGATAGAACTAGCAGTGGCTAGTAAAGAGGAAAGTTGATTGAGAGGGTCATTACTAGTGATTCCCTTATGGGAAAGACCGATCCCTCCGGTAGATGATTCATTGTGATAGCACCGCAGCTATTACTAAAGAAGGGAACCGGTTCTAGAACGAAAATAGACGACAAATTCGTCGTAAGCACAGTACTGTAAGAGAACTCCTAACGATAGGAGCAATGAGGGTGGATCCTGTAAGATCCTAACAGAATCTAGTTGATCCTTTGACGAAAGGATTACCTAGAGAGAAAGTCCAAAATACCACGAAGGGTATGAGACTTATGCCTACCGAACCATGGATTACAAGTGATGGTAACCCGACCCGATAGACTGGAGATCCCAAGAAACGGGTTCAATGGGTAATAACAAGTCATGAGTAATATTGAGAAAAGTTCATGCATAGTGAAGCATGAATCCCAAAGCCTTGGAGGTTGAGTTAAACTCTTAATGAGATCTATACTCTATGTGGAGTGAAGTACTTTACTTTGGGGGTACTTCTGATAGACTCACCTATGTGAATGTGGGAGTGGGGCCGCTCCCTATGGAACTTTGGAGGCACAAAGTTGCTAGAGCGTTCACTAAACCGGGATAACGTGCATGGCCATAAACGCACGGCCTATGAGAGAATATCACTCAATGAAAAGATCCGGTGTGCTACATTGTCTGAGATAGGGTTCAAGACTACGAGTCACCCTTATGAAATCGGAAGTGTAACCACTACGCTAAGGTTCAAATCTTCGCGATACCTTAGTTTATGCCCGATCTTATGGATCTGTTGATGCTCAGAGATAGTTTCAAACTATTCAAGTGGGGGATTGTTGGGATGAATAGCTTTGAAAAGCTATAAATGAAATTCCTAATTAATTATCCAGTATTTTCCCATAAATACATAAATAAGATGGATAATTAATAAAAGGAATATTATGGAGATAATTAGGAATAATTATCTTAATAGATTATATTTTAATTATGGGAGTAATTATCTTCCTAATTAAAATATGACTTATTCCCAAAGAAAGAGGGAATATTCTGGGTTTTCTGCTCCTATAAATAGGAGACGCCCCAGACCCTCAAAACACACCTCAGAAGAGCAGAAACACGAGTGAGAGTGAATTCATAGAGCTCCGGTTTTTCGCACAAAACCGATGAGCAATAAAATAAGAATGGCTGTTTTATCCTGGAGGCGACCGGCTGATAGTCTGTTGTGCGCATTACGAGCCAGTGCCGCGAACGTTTTAAAGAGAGCGACCTAGTCCGCGACTTAGCCAGATTCGGTAACCCTAATTTATCTGTTAGATTTTTAACAGGACCACAGCCCAGGGGGATGACCAGCTGATATCGCCGCCGCAGATCAACACCATGATTCACGATGGTAGCATTAAGCGTTGCCATAGCCAGGT